AGCATAAATCATATGACAATGCCTTAAAACATAAAAGTGCCAAGATAAACAGGGCTTGCCATTATAAAATGGATCAAATAGAAATAAATTATAAGCTTGTTTTTAAAAAACTAATATCTCACCATCAGTATGCCAATACTGGTTAGGTCCATGTGAGTGATATATCCTATGGTGTGGGTTGTTTCTCATCCATGCTTTACTGGCATTGGGATCTAGTTCATGAAGAACTTGAGCAACAAGCCTCCTTGGAGCATGTACATGGTGTTTGAGTCAAAGTATATGCCACCTGTAACCTGCAAGCTGCCCTGGTCTTTGCATTTCACTTCTAATGATGTTCCAAACTAAGTCTTCATCAGCATTGATTTTCCTTTTCACAAGATTATAGTTCCGAAGTCTTCTTTTAAGGGTGCAAACACTCATGGTGATACTATGGTAGACCTGTAGCAGATCTGTGATTGTTTTGTGATCATAACCCAAATGGAAATACTATTCTATTACCACACTCTCTAACACATTGAATTGTGAAAGAGAAAATTAAGGGATTTCAAAATTATTTTGTAAAATGAGGCAATAGCAACTTCCAAGCTTGTTGGTAACACAAGTACCCTAGGGTTTCTTGGTATTGCCAATTTTCAAACATCACAACTAACATTTTGAGGTGTTGTGCACCTGGATTATGTTTATTGGTCTTTCCTTTTAATTAAATTAATAATGTACCAATAAAGCAACGATTCAAGGCCTCAACATTACACTACTGACAAAACAATATTTACTGACCACTGTACTTCCCGTGGAGACTTTTCAGGGACAACACCCAAAACAAGCTACATTGAAATGTTATGTGCCTCTTGCTTGGAGCAGGCTAATTGGCCTACGCGGTCATCGTTCTTCAGGCTTTATATAAAATATGCAGGAACATTTCAAACGAAGCCAAAAAAAAAAGAAATGATCACTACCCGGCTTGCAATTTCGTGCCACATTTGGGGCAATAAATCGGCGTGGAATACTGGCCCAGATTTTCGCCACAGGAGCTGCAAAAGTTCGCTATTATCAAATATGGCGGGAAAGGTAGCAGCTATCAGGGAGATTTTGGGGCATTAATTCGGCGCGGAATACTGGCGCAGATTTTCGCCATAGGAGCTGCATTATCAAATATGGTGGCTGGGAAAGGTAGTATCTATCAGAGAGAAGCCTGGGTACTAGGTACCAGTTTCTTGATTTCTCCTCGTTTGTACGGAGGAGGAGGCTGATTTCTTCGGAGGACGCTGATTTCTATGGATAAGGCTGATTTCTACGGAGGATAGTGATTTCTACGAAGGAAGCTGTTTCCTACTTCGGAGGCTGATTTCTACGGAAAAGGCTGATTTCTACGGAGGAGGCTGATTTCTACGGAGAAGGCCCTTTTCTAGGGAGAAGGCTGATTTCTACGGAGAAGGCTCATTTTTACAGAGGCGGGCAATTTCTATGCAACAGGCTTACACTTGCATGGAAAATAGAAACAATTTCACTGAGGAAGCAAGTTTTTATTCAGGAAGGTGTTTGTTTTACAGTGTGGTGGGACATCGTATGTTTCGATAATACTGAGTTGTGTTTCGATATTATTGTGTTGTGCTTCGATAATACTGTGTTGTGTTTCAATAATATTGTGTTGTGCTACGATAATACTGTGTTTTATTGAAAAAACGGTAACGAATCCTGCAATCTCTCTCAATATTTTCCTATCTCTGCCCACGGGCCACGGTAACGCTTTCGTGGGTCGCCGAGTACATCCCAACTTTCGTTGTCATTTTTCATAAATATACCTCGTTTTCCAGATGGGCAGTATTTTAAAGCAAACAAGTCGGTCACCTCAAGCCGATAAATAACAACACACTCAAATCACTGACAGAAAAATATTTTTCAGAATGAATTTGTATAAACAATAGTATCATTACGTTGGTTGACAAGCGGCCTAAAAACTATCTGCAACTAATTTTAATCGTTCACAAAAAGTACCCAGAAAGTTAAAACGTGAGGTATTTAGTTACAGTTAAACTGAACGATGGAACTTTCATTAATTTAACATCTGAATTTCCTCGAGAAAATTGTTAGTAGAGAAAGAGCGAGCAAAGTTTTAATTCAAGTTCTACAACAAATATAAGCTCTCGGTGAGTCTTTCCAATTCCGTTCAATTTGGACATTTGTACCGTAAATTACACAACAGAAACTGAAGGAATTTTTTGAGAAAAGGCTGCATTAAATTCCCTTGTGTTTCGTTGCAGTGTGCCATTCGAATTTAGTTTTTGTGAAGGAAAGACCAGATTTACACACGCCATTGCAGCAAACAAACGAGCAAACTCTCACAACTTCAAAATAAAAAAATTGAATTTACTCACAATTACCGTCCTCGCCGTTTACTTAATGAACAAATACATGAATGAATCGTCGATGAGAGTGAATAATACTTTCCGTTAGATCACTGATTGATTTTGAAGAAAACATTGTCGTGACAGTCCTTGCCAAACTAGTTCCGTTGTTTTTCAAATGTTTTCTCGCTTTTTTTTTTCTTAAGCGCTCTCTAATTGACAGGTGTCAGATTTTGACAGATACTTGTAAAAATAATGTTTCAAAGTTTGTTTGGAAGCCTTTTAAATCACCTTTATCGTTAAGGAAATGAAAATGTTTCGCTGAGGCATCTCTCTTTAATTTGCATCACCTCTATTTTAACTACCATTTACTCGCTCAAAAATTGTTCAGTTTATGGAAGATCTTGCATCTTGTATTTACAGCCTTAAATCATTCGGATTCTTTCGGAAAGAATTTCGTCGTTTCAAAAAAATAAATATGGAGAAGGTCTCATTTCTGACCTCGGTCTTGAAAATGCTGCCCTCGGCCTTGGGCAGTATTTTCAAGACCTCGGTCAACACCATACACTTGCATGGAAAATAGAAACAATTTCACAGAGGAAGCAAGTTTTTATTCAGGAAGGTGTTTGTTTTCCAGTGTGCAGCAGTAGCACTAGTGGGCTACTGTATGTTTCGATAATACTGTATTGTATTTGGAAAAGTGTTTGTTGTTTTTGCAGATATGGGCTACCGAATAAAACCCCCTAAAAACAATACTTTGGGTCCAGGAAAAGTTCAAACCAGCTCAGCGATGACAATGCAATTTTATTTCTACTTAGAATATCAAATATCGGTGATAGAGCGGAAATGCTATGATAAAGTTTGAATATCAAATATGACTTAACTTTTCGCACTTTGCCGTGTCTGGCTGATCCTGATACACTTTTCAGTCTCGTCAAATAGTTGTTTATGAACCAAGTTTTTGTTGTAGCATTGTCCATTAAAATTTTCTCCTGAAACAGATTTTGATTTCAATTGCCGATCAGAGCTTTCAAAAAACACTATCTTGATGGTTGTCTCGTAAACATGGACTAAATTTGAAATACGCCCTTTGAGAGACGTTAAAACCTTCTGACTTTATACAATAGGTACAATAAACTTGACTATGGTCTATACTGCACTAGGTCTCCTTACGGTTTTATATCGAACAAGAACAAGCAAAGCTTTATTTACATATTACCCACTTAAGAAAGATACTAACTTTCTTGCTGCACTTAGCAAATTCGATTTTGATGAAGAGTTCTCCGTAAACCTAAACTCAAATTAAAATAACGAAGCTGACACTTATTTTCAATAATAAGTAAAGAAAATTCGTTTGATAGGACGAATTAAAAAATAATATAGCCTTGCCGAGGTACGGATGCCGTTTTACAGATGTCACACACCGCTGAATTATGCACTTTTCGGAAAAGGTTCACTTTATCCTGAGCGTATCGCAAATCTCCTGACACACCCATCTGTTGAAAAAAGGGTCGTGCAGCATAAAATTCATTGAGAGGGTACCAATAATCCCAGGCATACTTGCGACGAGAACATCTTTCATGATTAAGTTGAAAAACTTTCAAAATTCCTTTCATCGCTTCAGCTTTTGTTACCTTTTAAAATTTACTCGTACCAATAATCCCAGGCATACTTGCGACGAGAACATCTTTCATGATTAAGTTGAAAAACTTTCAAAATTCCTTTCATCGCTTCAGCTTTTGTTACCTTTTAAAATTTACTCGCGTTTATTAACACCACGTTGCACTCAAAATCATGTTGTGTTACCTATACCAAGAAACTCTGCGATGACTGTAAATTTGAATACAACAATTATGAGAGGGATTTCCTTTTAGCGCCAATCCACCCAGATTTTCATCACTTTTGAAGCCGTTTTGGATACACAGGTAACCAACGAGTTGTAACAGTTTTCTCAAAGAATGAAATAGAACTGTTATATCTACTTTGTTGACGTCGCATCGCAGTTTTAACCGAGTCCCTAAAATTTTAAAATAAACAAAGCTTTATATTCATAGTTACCACTTAAGAGAGACACTGTTAAACACGTTAAAAGACTTTCAAAATTCATGGCACATCGCTTTGGTTTCCCTGTACACTATTTTAAAATATCTCTGGATCCTAACACGATTATTTAAACTTAGCATTAGTCGGTTGCCCGAAAATAATTTGGATAAATAAACTAATGGCGCGTTTAAAGAAGGTTTTCAAAGATGGATACGAGAAAGGAAAATTTCATCGAGCTTTTGACTTTTCGAATTTGTATGTATTATCAAAGAAATATCAGATGAAAAAATGAAAGTTTAGTAGAAATTAAAGTACGTTCTAAAAGACTGCCTTAAAAAACGAAAACTTCATAGTTTTTAACATGGACACAACATGTCTAAGGTTGCAGATAACATTGCTCTCGTGTATCTTCATTCCTCAGTGATAAAGAGCCAGTGTAAATATCTGAATTATTATTAGAGACTTTTAGTTCAAGCTCAACTCTAAGTGGACTCCACTTGTAGCCGGTTGCAAGATGTCATTGTTTGTTCTTAGCGTTGTTTCAATGGGTCCTTGTACGTCGTGGGCCAGTTTGCCTTTTCTGAAAAAAAAAAAAAATGAATCCACAGAAAGTTACACGTCATATTTAGCTCCGAACCAGTGTTGGGTTGTAGAAGCATTTGATGAAGTGCAGCGGTGAGTCGGATTCATTTTGTCACTCTCATACTCTCCGAAATTGTATTCTGTGTTGATTCCACCTGGCGTTCCATCAAAATCACATCCTTTTTCTTTGCTTTTGTAACTCCTTATGGTCCAAGACGTATTTGATTTCTGTCTTGTCAGGGCGGTGCAATTAGAACAATTGATTCCTCGGATGTTAACATATTCATACATCTGACAGATGGTCCAGTTACCAAAGATGTCATGACCTGCCAGTTTTGCGCGTGCGTAGTCCGTATACTGCAGACCATCTGTAGAAAAGTTACAAGTTGCTCTCAGATGTGTGGAGTGATCAGCAAGAGACTTCATCTGTGATAAGGATAGTCGGTACCCGTTCCAATCCACTTTTTTTTTGTCATTATTAATCTCAAAATTTACGCCAAAAGGTTTATTCTCAAAGGTATCTTTTTTAGCCAAGGAAAACGATTGTATCAGTGTCCATACAAAACTTGGTTCAGACTGCAAGTCACAGTAAACAGAAAACGGGTCATTGTTTGAATTAAAGATCTCGTATTCTCCTGATGTCGAGGCACCGTACTTGACGATGTCCTCACAACTCTTCAGCTTTGTCCTCTCACACCGCTGACCAGTATATTTGTTGGGACAGCCACAAGAAAAGCGGATGCCGTGGGTGTCACAGATCTCCTGACATACCCCTCCGTTGAGACAAGGATTGGGTCTGCAGCATCTGTTGATGCAGCGATGCTTCCCCGAGATGTCTTTGTCTCCACCCTACAGCAAAATTTAGCATTTCATTAGCTTACGATTTCTTTTGATGCCTTTTACTATGGAAGCCCATTGAATTTAGTTAATGCACGCACCTGAGCAACCTGCATGAATAAAGGATGAGTGAAAGGATAAACGTCTGAGCTGTTACTTAACCAATTCATGTGCCGGGGAAGAAAGTTATATATAAACAATTTTATCTAACCTTTACCGTGAAATTTCTCACTAAATCATAATAATTCCCTCCTTTCCTCCATTTCATTGCCGCTGGCTCCATGTCTTTGTTAGCATCATTAAGTTCACAGTTATTTTCACGAGACTGTGGAAAATAATTCATGGAGACACACAAGCAGTCATCTTTACACTTCATGTGACACTGAGCGGCGCCACAGACTGTCAATCTTCGAAATACGTGACCCTCAAAAATGTGGTTGTAGGAGACATTTTCATCGATAACAAACTTGAAGTTTTGACAATTTACTGCTGTCTGTGCCACAGTGTGGAGAGTGAAGTTCAATATAAACAGCACCACATGAAGATATTGTACGATGCCCATGGCAATACTAAAAATATGCGAATAAAAGAGATACATTAATTTTTCATGGCGTAATCCGGAACGGAATGAATAGATACTTGGACTTCCTGCCGAAAGGCAGCCTCCACTAATATTTTTTCATAAGATCGAACAATTGTGGATTAGTGTAGAATTTATTGTTTTGCTTAACTAGGAAATTGTTACTCTCAAAGTTAACGGCGTAATCTGGAGCGAAATTAATAGATATATGGACCTCTGCGAACTCGTTCTTCACCACAAAATACAATGATTTGCAGAATTTCCGAAAGGATAATATTGATGGTTTTAGTGAGGAATGCTTTACAAAATAATCATTAACATACCTAGCAGTTTAGTGCAAACAAAGTCAGTTTACCAGAACACTAAACTGAGTTCTCTTCATTGCCCAAGATGCACTGCGAGCGACATACTGTGGACTAGCTCCTCATTTCGTTTTAAAATTGATATAAATAGAAAAATGGAAAAAAAAATCAATGAATCAGTTTCAATTCATTTATGGCAGTAATTTCTAATTAAAAGTAAATCGACTACAGTAAGATTAATACAGGAAAGTTATAAAAAAAGTAAATGTCAAAGTTATCAATTCTCAGTGAAACAGCAATTGACTTAATCAAAAATTGTTTCTTCGAGGCATCTTTCTGTCTGACGTTCATGTATCAAATCAAATCGCCCTAGCATGAGGAATGTTTCTTGAAACGTAAATCTTTCAAGACTTATGTGTTTATCACTGATATTCTCACCCGGTCAAACGGTGTGCCGTAAAAACACGTATTGAAAATAAAGAGAGATCTCAGACCCTTTTGTGTCACAAAGCCCCAAAAAGAGAAACTCTACCCACCATCAATTGTTAAAAGATTCCCGTTCAGTATTGCACTTATCCTCGACTAAATCAACTCTAGGAATGATTTGTGGTGAGTTTTCACGCTTTAAAATTTAATCTTCATCTGAGGGGGTCGCAATCCATTGTTTAACCTAGGATTATACGACATATAATATTGATGAAAGCAATTACACTAAGCTTTTAAAGTTTCTGTCCATCGATGAATGAAAAACCTAATGCAAAACCTACGTTAACTTTTTAAACTTATGGCGTTTCTTTTGCCGCTTTATTAAAAGTAAAGAAACGTTATCAATCAGCTGCGAATCAGACAAATTTACTAAACTCCCATAGTATCCGTGAACTGATTAAAAAAACATAAACCTGTTATATCCTTTTGTTATTAAATGGAAAGTTCTGTCCGTAAGAGTGGTTTATAGTAACCAGTGAACAATACCATCGTCGGCGATGGAGTCACAAAAAGTGACAAGAGACAGTCAAAACAAAGAAATCATAAACCACTCTAGTGAGTTTATTGTGCTACAAACACAGTTGGCTTTCTCTACCGCTTCTCGAAACAAACAAGTCAATTTTGATTCTTAATAAAGCGAAATCTTTTTTCCATATAATAAATTCTTTATTGACCAAGCTTGTTTTCGGTAAAGATGGTTGGATATTAGCCTCGCTCTTTTTCTTTTCGTTTTTTAATGGATCTCGCGTCGTCTAGATCCATAAAAACGCAAAAAAATAAATCGGCTACTATCCAGATATCTTGACCTCGAGCTTGGTCTACGACGCATTTATCTAAATGTGGTATTGAGAGACTTTCGCCTGCTTAGCAAATTGAATAAACTTAAGGTTACCATCACAAAACATGATGTTTTTTGGGATCTCTCCATGCAACCTTCACAAAGACAAAGCCAAAGTTTACATAAACACAAGGAAAAGAAATTAATATTTTACTTGTTTTGCTTTTAAGGGTACGGGTAACTCTTCACATGCAAACTGAGCTGCTCCTGCTTATATTACTGAATTAACAGCTGTCGTGTTACCACAGACATCAAAGCAAATTGCGCCACAATACTCATCAGAATAAGAGTAAACTTTAGCAAGATTCGCGCACAAATTGCCTAAGACACACAGGTAAACATGAGTCCTTAAAAGATCACCACAAGCAAAGAGGACTGAAACCTTTTCGAATAAATTATCGGAGATAATTGTTCCCAAGTTTATTGTTGGACAGTCTGATTATTCTTCTCTCGCATTTACCGGCTACTTTCCGCTTTCTGATCAATGCTATTCCACCAACTTGAAATTAGGAAGATTTGAAGGCAAACTGCAAATAATTTCCTTTCTGAATTTCTACCTGTCATTTTAAGATTTCTTCTTCAATTACAAGCTAATAAAAAGTATCTTTGATACTTCCTGTAGACATGGGATTTAACACGACTCATATGTTATGGCTTCACTGAGTTCTGCAAGCACTTTACTACAATCTTCCTTGCGTACTACATGTGGCCTCTGCGCATAAATGGAGGTGCACTTGAAACAATATTCAGTCAGTTGAAACTTGGTGCGAATGGCCAGTTGTCCAGTGTGAAGTACTCCTTAGTTCTTACCACACTGAAGTTAAAACATCGTCTTTATGGATGAAGGGGAAAGTTCTCAGTTTACCGAAAAGCCACCAATATAAATTATGTAAGAGAAATTTCACTGAAGAAAAAATAAGATTCATGTTGAGAGCAATACATCCTTTAAACAATGTGAGTATAACCTCTAAGTGATTGAAAAAACTTTTGCAAAGTGTCATACAGCTTTGCTCCTCAAGTAAATTGTCAATAATATTTAACAGGGTTCATAATTTGATGATTTTATAACTTTGAGAAACAAGAACTTCACGTATCATTAGAGACAACAATGTCCCGTGGTTCAAAATGTAAGTAAGATGTAAACTTGAGCATGCAAGCTGTAAATTTTTTTTCGTATAACTGAGATGGCCTATCCACAAGACATGAGAACTCATTTCATAAAACAGAAACATGTATGTTGTTATCCACAATGCAGCAGTTCTCCCTCAACGTTACTAAAACTCCCGTCAAACCATCGCACAGCGCGTGCAAGTCACTAGAGTTTACAACGAGCACATTGGTTAACATCACGATATTTATCTCCGTTCCAAATAAATGCTTTTTAGGATATCATAAATCGAGCAGATTTTGGTCAATATCTACTTGTTTTCCGATCAAAAAAAGTAAACGCAAAGAACAGTTTCCTTTTTGCAAAATAACCTACTGGTTAAATTATAGATGAGCAATGTAGCACTGTCTTGATGATCATTATTTTCTCCATCTAGGTTGGTCAAATGAATAACATGGACAAGATTCAAGCCTGGGTTCGTTTGTTCAAAGGCCGATAAGCACAAATTTTTTTTAAAGCTTTGAGATCTGAATTCAAATTTCACACTGACCCTGGGTTATCTTGAACCAGCTTTGAACAACCCACCCTGGTGTAATAAGATCATTTTGCACTTTTGGGACAGTTCCAGCATTTGTAAGGCTAATAGATCAACAAGGGCTGATGAAGCCCTCGTTAAATTGAAGATGGTTGTGTATTTCGGTATACGTGAATTGATTAGTTGCCTCTGTCAAAACTTACTTAATCAACAGTTGGTTACAAAAGATACTTTTGTATTGCACTGAGCACCGGGATTGGACAACTGCATCACGTTTGTGGTGAACATGAATGGGTTGGGGGGAAGTGCGACCATGATTATTATTTTTTACCGATCAAACATGAAAGGGGGGGGGGGGGGGTTTGGGGGTTTCCTTCCTGGGGTGATTGGCTGTGTTGACAGCACTCACATCAAGATTCAGGCACCACATGAAAACGAAAACGGTTTTTTCAATCGTAAAGGGTTCCATTCCATGAATGTGCAAGCAATTTGCAATCACAAAGCTAGGTAAAATACTTAAAATACATAGTTAGTGTTGCATAAAATTTGTCTAATAAACTTTTACAGGGAGGGGTACTCCCCTAATAGAGGGTTTTAGGTTGAGTTTTCTGGCAAAACAGCTGCTATGGGGTTGCATTGTTGGGAGTTAATAGATTACAGTTTCACATATTCAGGATATGGGAGAAGTGATAAAAATATTTTTTAAGTAGGAATTTAGGGTATAAATTGTTTGTTTGTATATTGTTAAACATTTCGGTTCACATACATTCTGTTCCCAATTGACAACTTTTTTGAAAACAAAATAAATGACAATTATTGGGTTCAAATAGTATGAGTAGAGTTTGGTTTGCAAACACACTAGAAAAATTAACCAAAGTTATTACACGAATATTTTAGCGACACAGTGTAAGAAAAGAAAAAAGCAAGGAAAAAACAACAACAAAAAAAGTGGGATATTTGTGAATATATTGCACAGCTAATGGCCAACAGAGTGCAACAATCACCAAGGATTTCAAAATGATACAGTCTCCCAATTTCAAAACATTCAAAACACAAATTAAATAAATAATGAAAAGGTTATCCAAGTAAATTAAATGTTTTTATCAGTTACTCCAGTTCATCATAGACGCAATTATTGTTGTTTCTCTTTGCAGTACATCGTTGTTATAAACTGAGATGATTTTTCTATATCATAGGTAAGAAATGGTCACATCACCGATTTTCGGTTTCATGTTAGGCACGTTTACTAACATAGTAGCGCGATGGCCACGCAGCACCCATAACAGCTTTATATTTAGGGATTCAAAAATTGGCCAACGACTAAATGACCAACACCAGTCCTTGGAAGATGGTTTACTGTTAGGTGACAGTGGTTACCCTTGCAAGCCGTAACTGATGACCCCTTAACCGAATCCAGTCACTGACAAGCAGCAAGAGTTCAACAGTGCCCACAAAAGAACAAGAGTGGCCATGCTAAGGCTCATGATCAGCCAAATCTTGTTTGCTTCCACGGTCCAGAGAATGGCAAGGTCATCCGAGACCATATCTGCAACACCTTTTTCTGACAATTTTGGTATTTCTGCCTTATGAAATCAGGTTCGCTTTTAATTTAACTCCCTATAAAATATAGAAATTCATAGATCAATTCAGGGGGTTTCTGATTAAATAAAACACATTAAAATAATTTTGACTTAAGAGTCTGTTTTATTACATCAAATTACATTTGAGAACAGAATATGTTCTATAATAAATTGTACAAAAGCAACATTTTCCCAGAATATTTCTTTAGGAGGACTTCTTACACTACTCACCATTTCAAATGTATCAGTGTCAGAAACGGACAAAAAATAACAAAACTACAAAATTTGCATTTAATGCAGTTGCAAAGGTTTTGCTGGCATTAACCTGTTGCTCCAAAAGATGGATTTGCAATTTCAATTTCTGTTTTTTTTAGAATCATTCATAGTGCATTTTCAGAACATCATTATGACTCACTCTTTTTACAGGTTACTTCCGTTCATCAGCCTCGGCTGGTGAAGAATGCACGTCTTCATCGATGTTCAAACAGTCTTCTTCAATCACAGACTCTGCTGGTAAACGAACATCTTCTCCTGTAAAGTATTTCACGCAAAATTAAGGTTTTACTCAGGC